TCTAAACCACTTTATTTGGAGGTAAAGCCAAGTTAGTGTACCTGTAATGTCTGTAATAACATAATTATCCCTCATTGCACTGGAAAACTTTGTGGATGCACAACTACCACAAGTACTGAAGGTCAAAGATGAAACATGGAGTCGGTCTGTAAACTGTGATGGACGTTTACAAAGGTCATTTTACTGTTCACTTGTATGTTCTCTTCCAAATAACTTTGTCTAACCTAAGGGTTCTGTTTTAAACCTGTATGATATTCTGAAAGCTTGTATCTGACTTCTTTTCACCACTCTCATTCCCATATCTCTGTTTAACTTGGCCAATAAAACTGAACTGAACCTAGACTTAAAAGTGTCTAAATGTCTTGCTCAATAGAGACTGAGGGACTTTTTCTCAGCCATTGTTGCCAAAGCTGGGTGGAAACAATTAGAGAGCATAAAAAACCTGCATCGCAGAACCAATCCAAAGTCTTTAGGGCGGTGACATGGCGGTAGTGTTTCAATATTCAGCACTGTTTTAAGTAAGGTGTGTCCTTTAAAGTAAGGGTCCACAGACAATTGCTAGGCACTGAGGTCTCGGATTGTCCGGTATCGTTAGACTAACAAAAAAGTAACCAAGTTGTGATAAACTGGAATTATTCTTTAATGTTGAGTCATGTTGAATTTTTTGGCCTGAACCTCCCAACCCACACTGTTTCAGTCTATTGCAGTGCTCTCAGCAGAACTGGCACAGCAAAGCTCTCATTACATTTTGTATAGTGGCACTAGAGAGCAGTTTTTAGGGGAAGGACTGTCTGGATTCCAGTTTGTAGGCTGGGCGAACAAAGGAGGAGGTTGTCAGCATTCATGAGGTTGTCATTATTGCCAACAATATGATCAGTCAGATAGAAGTACAAACTGTGTAGCGAGTTGTAGTAAAACAGCAGTCATAGCACTCAGTTGCCCTAAAATGTGTATTCACTTACAACATGTATTGCTGGGGTATCACTTGAAATATTTAGCCTTATAGTGGAATGGCTTCAGGGAGGCAATGTCGGTTGGTCTGTCTGTCTTTTGGTCGGCCACCACGCTGGCCCACACTGAAATATTTCAACAACTATCAGATAGATGACAATGAAATTTACACAGACGGTTCCCAGACGATGACTCCTAAAGACTTTGGCAATTCCCAAGTGCCGCCACGAGAATGGAATTTGTGGCTATACTGTGAAATTTCCCAACAAATATTGGATGAATTACCATGAAATACACACATCCATGTCACCCTCAGGACAAACTGGTCATCCCCTGGTCATCATCACCATCATCAGGTCAAAACTTTTTATTTGTCCAATACTTTGCTTTATGACAATATACGTGCAAAACTAATGACATTCCCATCAGCATCAGCTGTACTTTGTCTTTAGTGCTAATTAGTAAATTGGAGTGATCATGGCATGGCAAACAGCCGCATGTTAGCATTGTCATTTTGAGCATGTTATCATGCTAGCATAGAATGGCTGCAGCCTCTTAGTCTTGATTCGATGCATTGAGGGACACATTTTTCTATAAAACTTTTATTTATTCAGCTGAAGAAGACAAACTCTTTTTAATGTTAAGTGTTCTTGAAAGACAAGGAGCCATATAGGAACTTCCTCAATGAAAATTTCTGAAAAGGGCAAAATTCTGATTTCAGCAAATCAGCAAATATCTGATTGAGAAACAAGTAAACAAGACTACAAATCTGAGCAAGCATGCAGTGCCACCTTTCTGTACTTGACAGATTCCGATGCTACAAGCACGTTTTAGTCTGTACCAAAAATATATTGCGGTTCAGTACCCAACCCACAAGTTATCCTCAGTTTTACATGTTTTATAAATGCTTGTTTTGTGTATATGAGTGAGGTATGATCCAGATGTGCTACCAACACTTATGAAGAAGATAAAGGCCACTAATGTCAGAGCCAAGGTCTCTCAGTGTCACCGGTCTGCAGGTTGAACGGATTTCTGCCGGGCTTAGAGGAAACATGGTGGGCATTAGAGGACTTGTGGACATTAGATGAGTCATACGCTTAGCACCAGGTGTGTGCGTGTGTGCACACAGAGAGACACACACATCGGCGGCAATCTTAACTCTGCACCCTCCCGGTGTCAGTCAGTCACTCTGATTGCATTATTCACTGCTGGGTAGGAGAGGAGATCCCACTGTTTCAGCTCTTTCACAGCTCCCTCTCTGTGAGTAGGAGAACAAGTCAATGGATGATGGAGGAATGATGGGATTGGAGGGGTGTGTGGATGTTAAAAGGGATGGAGGAGGGGATAGAGGGGAATGCATGTGGAGAAGATGGACTGATAGATGGGTAGAAGAGCAGCCTCATACATGGCCCAGATGTCAGCATCTCTATTGCACATGCTCCACCTACATGCTGGAGCCTGTGATTCTGGTTTAAAATGAACAAGTGTGAAAAAAATTCAGTTAGATCATTGAGAGGATGAACCTTCCCAGTATTTTGTTCAAATGTTGAATGCCCAGGATAAACACCCAAAGGCACTCACCCAGATTTCAAGTACAAAGCTGACTCATCTCAACTTCACCAATTTATTTTGGCAATGTCAACATGTGTGCTACCTTTTTTGCCTCCTGTGTATTCAACATTGGAAACTGTTTCAGTTACATTTGAACCCTAACCATGTATTACTGGCCATAGGGTGATACATGACTTGTGTTATTTTTAACACAGTTTGAAATGTGACATCTTCATTAAAATCAGCCCTTAGAAAGGGTTTGAGCAAGATCATGCCATTGTGACAATAACCCTTTAAAAAAACCAAGGGCAGGATCAATGCTATTAGCAGGCCTCTCATTTTTAGATTTTATAAGTTGTGTCAACATTTATTCTGATAGTAAGACAAACTTCAAAAACAACCTTTCACTTTTACTTTTAGTGAGTGAAATACTACTCTGTATCATTTTGATATCTAAAAAAATGACATGTTGTTGGTGTTTAAAAATACCAATAGTATATAGTAATAGTCTGTCGCTCAATACATTTTTTTGCATTAGCTGCCTGTGCATGTCATTTTCCAACCCTGTACGTGATAGCCAGATATCAGCCAAGTAGTAACTATGAGCGGATGCTAGTAGATTGAACTATAATCAAAATTGTTCAGTTATACTGTACACCACATTAATATGTTAATCACTTAAATCTGAATCTTTGGACATTCAGAGGTGAGCAGCAGATTGTCCTGTCAGTTTGTGGCTCAACTTCGAAATCAAAAGTATTTGACCGCCTCCCAGAAAATCCTGGCTCAAATACTGCTTAAGTTTTGCATTTCTAAATCATAGTTAGCTAATAATAGTATCTTTTTGCTTTGCTGGTTCCTGTGTGTCATTAGGCCCCTGTATATGTGTTGGTATATCAGTGGAAAGGCTATAACAGCATGAAGCAGGAGGTCAAAACCTGGCATAAGGAGGGATCCATCAGAGCTTGAAAGTAAGACAGCAAATTTGTTCTGTGTCCCCTTGAAAGGGACAGAATAATGTGACTTTCTCCCCACTTATAGAGGGTCTAAATTTAGGTCTGCAAACCTTCAGCAAGATTGTAGTTGCACACAATACACATGCCATTAGGATAGTAACGACAAAGTCACCATGGCAACTGTCATGCTAAAGCCGGGCTTCATCCTTCATTATAAAATGAGGAGCGATAGCTGCTTTGATATGGCATTATGGGTGATTAAACCGTACGCTGTTGAGTTTTATTTCCAGTTTGATGACGACACAGTTGATTCATTGCACTGATTATGGTTTCTCTTTAACTCTTCTCCAGCTTTCCCATATTTTTTGCTTTTTTTTTTTTGCTTTCCCATTTTTCATTGATAATATGAGGTGGTCTCAGTGTAGAAACAGGTCTTGCATGAAACTGTGGACCAGCCAACACCTGTGAAAGGTTACCTTTAAACACCTTTCTGCTTAATAATCTGACCAAGAAGCCGTAGCTATGAGATTGCAACTTATTTCCTTGGTCGACCTTTT